TATCAAAAGTACTGTTAGGAGTCTCAGGTGAGTACTTGTAAACATTTAAAATGGCTTCTACAGCATTTGCTTGCTGAGTTCAGAAATGGAGGAAACCCTGGTAGTAAATAAGTTTTCATTTTTGGTTCATCAACTGTGACCAAATGGATCCTGGTTTTTTTTTTTTTTTTTTTTTAATATTCAACCAAAGAAATACAAAATACATCATTAAAACCTCTGAGACCTTTTCACTGATCATTACAATACTGCATTTTCCATAAAACTGGCTAATATATACTGACATTTCCTGTACTATTTTACAGAAGCTGTAAATAGTAATCCTGATTACACTGGTGATGTACTGCATTTGGAGCTATGACTTTGGAATACCCTAGTATTTTGACMTTTGAAGAGCAGCAGAATCTTTTAYTTGCCAATCACTGTGCACTTCCAAGCTGACTCCAGGCAAACTTCAGGTATTACACAAGATCCCAGTAACAGAGAATCCTTAAGGTTGGAAGGGACCTCTAGAGATCATCTAGTCCAACCCCTCTGCCCAGCAAGGACATCTAGAGCATGTGGGGCAGGGCTGCATCCAGGCAAGTTTGGAAGATCTCCAGAGAAGGAGACTCCACAACCTTCCTGGGCAGTCTGTTCCAGGAAAGTTCTTCATATGGAGACGGAACTTTCTGCGTTTCAAATTATACACATTTGCCCTTGTCCTATCACCAGCCACTACTGACAAGAGTTTGGCCCCATCCTCCCTACATTCCTCCTTCAGGTATTTATACATATTGATCAGATCTCCTCTCAGTCTTCTCTAGGCTAAATAGGCCCAGCTCGCTTAGTTGCCCTCTTTGTTGCCCTCTGCTGGACCCTCTCTAGAAGTTTCACATCCCTCTTGTACTGGGGAGCCCAGAACTGCACACAATACGCCAGGTGCAGCCTCACCAGAACTGAGTAGAGGGGCAGGATCACCTCCCTTGACCTGTTGGCCACACTCCTCCTGAAGCGGGCCAAGATCCCGATCGCTTTCTTGGTCACAAGGGCACRCTGTCTATCAATTGATGTAGGTTAATGGAAGCCCATGTGGATATAACATAAGCCAAATGAAGATATTCTCTCTCTTTTTTTTTTTTTTTTCCTTAAAGTATAACTGACCAGCTCATGCCCTGCTTTCTTTGTTGGATTTTCCCTGCATGTCAGGCTATATTCAAAACTAATCCAATTTAACTTCCTCAGCTACAAAACCTGCCCAAGGAATAACACAAATCTGCTCAAGTTACTGCCTTTCAATAAATTCTATATTGTTCTGGAGCCTCAGAAATGCCAATTTCTATGCCAGTAATTTCCAAGGCCTCAAAGAAAAGTCCACTGTCAAACCTCAAGATGCATCATTTTCTTTCACTGAATGCTATAAAAAAACATTTGATGTTTTATAGATGCATACCGGGAAGCAAATTTTGCAAATGCTTTTTGAGGATTAGAACTGCACAAAGAAAGTAACAGTCTTTTCAGCTGGTCCACCAGATTTCTCCCAGGAGAACTAAAGGCTTCACTGCAAAATATATGATCCAGGAGAGGACATATTTCTGCATCAAGATTAAGGGAAAATGAAAAACATGGAAGATGATGCAAGTGTGCAGGAAATAGACGAAACTAAAATGCAAAATAAACARTATTTTAATTAAATTAAGAAGCATACATGAATATGTCCATATACAAATAGTTAGAACTACCATGACCAATTCTGGATTTCTGGATTAGGAATTTCTTTTGGGACCACAAGACTTAATGACTAATCATATGACTTGTTAATTTATATTAGAAACCAATTTTTCTTACAAATCCTCCTGCTTCTGGTTATCTTTTATCTATTTCTTTTTTCCCTCAAAAGAAGATATTTCCCTCAAAAGAAAGGACATTTTCTTCTGTGAATAACAGCAGCAACAACTTTTTTTAAAAGAAATTTGTCAAAAATATATGAAAAAAGTGCTTCAGCTTTATGCTAGAGGAAACAACTAATTTGAAGTGCTGTGGTTATTAATAAACAGTTTTGYCTTTTGTGTCATTAAAGCAAATGTAACTGAGAGTGAGGTTTTACCATTTGCCTCTTAATTGCAATGAAAGTTCTTGAGAAAGCTAAATTAACATTGTTAGAAATGTAGTGTCAGGGCAGCTCTCATTGCACTGCTTTTGAAGTTGTGAGGTTAATCTGGGATAAGTAAAAGGTAAAAAAAATATTTAAGAGGATAAAAAAGTGCATTCACACTTCATAATACTCAGCCAAGACACACACAAAAAAAGAGGTAAATCAGTGTGGGATTCAAACCAAACATTTATTTTCCAATTTACACTTGCTGCTAGGTCTGGCTGACTGTACATGCAAAAAGGTAATAAATGCTAAATATTACTGAGGCAGTTATCATTCTTATTATATATAGTATTTTTCATAGTACAGTATGTATTAGTATAGCATAAGCATACTAATACATAATATAGTATAGTATTAATAGCATTTTTCATAGCAACTGTTTAAATATTTATTTGAGACAAGGCATATTATYGCTAATAGTAAAAGGCCTCCATCTTTCCCCACAACCTTGATTTGAAGGAAGGTAAACCTGCAARATACATTTATGCTGGGGGAAAAACAGGTGAAATTCATAGTACTAAGTGAAGAAAAGCTCCTTTTTCAGCTTCCAAATTTCGCTGACTGATGAGTAGAAGGAGACAATAGTGTTATAAAGATTGCAATGTACTGATTTCTAAGTTACGTTGATTGATGGTGATATGCGCCAGAGTCCAAAATCTATTCACAGTTTGAAACAGATGTTTAAGTCAGGACTATCCTGAACGCAGCAAACACAGATAGTGGCAACATAAACTTCCCTGCAGCCCTGTCAACAAGCCAGCCTTTCTATGGAACAACGAGGAAGGCTCAGGGTTTTCTAGAAAGACGGTTGTACAGATGGTGTAATGTTGCTTACGTGCAACATGATACCAGAAAGCACCAGACATGYTCTACATGTGCTTCACAGCTGGTCTGTGCCAGTGTTATAAACCCACTCCCTTCACAACTGGCTGGGTGTACCCGGCGTGTGGTGTGTGACACTGTCACACACTGAGAAATCTACTCAATATTTCCCCAACTGCTCAGCAAGCTGTGCAGGCCCATGGCAACTATGCAATGCATGTTTAGTAGGTCAGTGCTTCCAAGTACTGTATTTTTTACATGTAAAATGCTGTTAATCTATTCACATCTCAAAACACGGCCAGAATTTCCACATTCAGAGACAACTGTGGCAGACCTACTGCTTGGTAGGAATGACTGATTTTTTAGAGTTTCAAACAACTGTCAAAAGTCTTCCTGAACTTCCTGGACCACTTTTATAACTGGAAAAAAAAAAAAAAAAAAAAAAAAAAAAAAAAAGAGGTATGTCCATAAAATACAGATTGAGAACAGCTCAGAGAATGATGTTCCCATGATATAAGAGGTCTGCTAGGTAAATCATCATGGTACCAAAGTGCACTGCTTGTGGTCGTAGAGGGCTTCATCCTCTGTGAACTGTGACCCAAGCACATCACATTAACCACAGAGTAATTTTTATTCATGATGGATATGGCCTAAAAGTTGTAAAAAATAGAATTTAAAATGTATCTTCCTTCAGTGTATTAACATACTATCAATGTCCTTCCTTAGCCACAGAAACTTTTTCAACTCCCTTATTGTCCCTCTTGTTATATTTTAAACTAAACTAAAATCCTCACAAACTGTTTTATGGGTGGCCCATAAAAATTTGATGATTTTCCAAGGATTTAAAACAAGGAGTTTGACTTTTTTTTTTTTTTCAATAAAAATACCAAATACAAACTCTTTAGAAAATAATGGCACATAGACAGTGGGATATGTTTAAGGGGAATATTTATGTTGCAAATACTTATTTTGTTATGTTTGAGGAAATAGTCCATTCTCCCTTACATGATGACAGAGGGTGTGTTTTTCATTTTGCTTTTTTTTTCAYGGCCTGTAGATTAATGTTTTGATGGCATGAAGATCATCATTAAACAATCTCATTATCCCTGTTTGAATGAAAAAGCAATGATGCAGAAGCAGCATATTTCTGCATACAGATGGTATATTAGCTTGCATCCAGTATAATAGTAATCATTGGACTTATTTTCATATAAGCTTTGATGCTGAACTTCCAAATGGTGAATTATTTTTACTCTACTGTACTCAATACCCTTGGGTTTCCTGCCAAAATTTCTCAAAGTTGCCACAGAGAGACCAGTGCCTGATAGCAATTATATCAGTGAGGAAGACACCAGTCAAACCTTTGTATTATTTACTTATTATCAGCATTCCAGTCGTCGGCATTCTTGGCTAATTCTCACTTATAACTTAACAGAGATTCCTAGAACCACATATTTCCATTATTCAGGATGGAGAAAAGTAAGCMAACAGCCTACCTGCAGTGTTACAGTCTAGCAGCTTAACAGTGCACCCAAAAAAATACTGGGAAATAAGCTGGGGTAGAGATTTTTTTGCAATAGTTATGAAGGGAGTCATAGGTGACATACAGATATGGCCACCATAAATGTTTAAAATGAGGTGAAAGACATATTCTTGATAAAACACTACACAAATATTAATTAATTCAGGAAATACCTAATAAGCAATAACAAAAAGAGTAAATACTTCTTTTATTAAAATAAAGCTTCAGAACTAAACGTATGCACTCAGGCAGAAGGAAGGAAGTTATGAAACTCTCTGAAGTACCAGTGGTAAATAAATAATGACCTACTAACCAGCTTTTCTATTTACACTAGCAATAATTATTAAAGCTTATTATTCAGAAAGGATTGCTCTCTAGAAAGAAAAAAACATATCTATGATGAAGTATCAATCATGTAACATAATTAAGTAGTTGAAACTAAAACACATGGAAACTATAATTAAATCATTCTCCCTACTAATTAAGTTAATAAAAGGCAGCATTCCCCATTTAGGGAAAAGGCAACTGAGTTGTTGCTCCAAGCTAAATTTGTGTTCTGAAGATGACTTTTGAACTGCAAGTAAAAATTTCTTTTTCCTTATCTTTACTTAATAAATGAGCAAGGCGCTAAGGGCTTAAGCAGTGTTTTTCCACAAGCAGAGGTTTTCTACAAGCAGAAGCAATCTCATCTACCTCTAATTAAGTTTGCATTTTTAGGGTTTTCTCCAAATTTGTCTTGACCTTACATAAGACTCTCTGGTAAGAAACATCAGTATCTGATTAATTTGCAGTGGATATGCATGGATATGCACCTTAAAGTTAACCAAAACCTTTTCTTTGCAAGTAGAATGCATGGGGAATTTCAGAGAGGATTTTTCAGCAGCTTTTGCTCTCAGGAAACCTTGAAGTAGAGCAGACTGATGAGAAGAATCAGCTTGCACCAATTATTTCTATTTTTCTGCCAAGAAGCAAGCTAAAAAAAATTGTTTTTAGCAAGTGTAATAAGTACATTTGACAGTAATAGTCTGTGTATAGCACCAAGAAGTTGAACCTTGACAAGCATATTTTCAAGCTAGATCACTTTGGAAAACTTGTATTTCTTGAACTTTTCTGTTCTTAATATATGATATTGATCTACACGTCAGTAATATACATGAAAGTGGAAGATGGAACACTTAAAAGTAAAACACAATTATTTCCTATGTGAACTGAAGACATCTAGCTTGGAGCTGACTTAAAAAAAAAGAAAACCCTGCATGAATGGTGGGTATTCCACCTTTTTAACAACAGGGAATAGCTTCAGTCTCACACAAAAATGCATTGTGGCAATTAAAACAGATGGTGCAAGGACTGAATGGAGTTAATGTTATTAGGGAAAGCATTCATTCTTTTAAGCAATTGTAGCATACCTTTTATGTTAGATTTAATTCCAGCTTCTGGCATCAAGATGGGTAACATCCATCAAGAATATTATGTAAAATTCCTGAAAAGCTTTTGCACATTTCCAGTTGCTATTTTCAAGATTTATGGTTCTAAATATAAGCTGGCTAATATTTCCCTCCTCAAATGGTAACTCCACAGACTCCTTGGCATGGGTGCAATCATTCACAGCTGTATGCAAGATGTTGTTAAATGCAGAACAGCATTTCTAGCTGCCTCCTGCACATTGTCAACAAACAATATTCAGCTGATTTTTCCCACTAAATAATTCCTCTAAATGACAAATATCTGTTGAGATGCATTAAAATCTAGCTGAAGAAGAAACAGCACATTAAAGCAACCTGCACCAGCTTTATTTTTTTTATTTATTTATTTTTTGCAGGAACAAGGTACACTGTGCTTCCAATCTGTTTACTTTAGCATTCCTCTATATTCTCCATGTTGGTTCAGGTGAGTGCAACTTAAGCATCACATATATGAAGTGTTTTTGTTTATTTTTTTTAATGTTTGATTGYTTGGCAAATCCCTCACTGATCTTTTCTATCACCACTGAAAGACTGTATCTTGCAATATGTACACTAAAGGTCAAAAAAAACCTCTCCGTGCACATATGCCACTGTAGAAAGATCAGCATGTCCCCCAGATAGCTAAAGTTTAGTTATAATTAAGAATATTCAGGGCAAAGTCACATCAGATAATAATTTCCTAATCTTTAAGTGTTTAKTAAATAGTGACTGCACCCCATCTATATCTGTCTTAGACTCACGGATGCAGAAGGGAAGCACTGACACCGCAGAATATTTTTCCAGCTCAGGTCTCTGGATCTTCTGAAGTTTTATATTGGTAAGTTACTTAAATGTGGGAGTCGTCGTTTTTTCCTTCTCTATGGACAGCAAAGGATGGTAAATAGAATGAGGACCAAGATATTATATAGATTGTTGTGACGCAAAACTGTGAATTATTGYGCTACATGAAACAACTTTAAAGGAATCTTGAAAGTGAACTGGATCTATGCAAATCTTTTCCAAAGTGCAGGACATCAGGAAAAATAACAAAATATCATGTTAGTATCTTGTCAGAACTGACGTCAGTAAAATCTTCTTCCCCCAGAAACAATACAGGCAATAACAAATATTATTTGTAGAAGCCAGCCTACTGCCAGAAGTCATTTTTTTTCATGGATTCAAGGAAATATCTTTTTTCCCATTAGATATTTGGAAATGGAAGACAGATATTGGCACATACCACAGATATCTTTATCAGAGGTTTCATCATGAACATGGTCAACTGAAGCATGTATCATCTTTTCATTTGAGAGCTTGAAAAAAATAATATAGAATGTTGAAAAACTTTCTTTTTGTAAGTAGAGTGTAAGCTGAAATGCAACAAAAATACAAATTTCAATGTCAAGATAGGCAGCCTAGCTTGTTTGAGAGCATCCACTTAAGTTAAAATCATCTTCCTAATTCCTTTGCTGCATTACAGTATTTAGTACTTTCCTGGGTGCTTTCCTTATTCTAATGCTGGTCAACACTTGCTTACTAGGTTAGCATCACACCCACCATCAGGACTTCAGTAAAAAAGACTTCGAAGTGCAAGACTTCAAGTTTTCTTCTTCTTCTTTTTTTTTTTTTTCTTTTAAGAGCAAAGACATGATGCAATATTTCTCAGCATATTAGTAAAGTTCATTTGCACTGCCATAAATAGATATTAAATATGGAATGTCATTCTACATGTGGTGAAAAGTAGAACACCAGCCACTACAGCTGTCTGTAATATTGATATCCAGTTCCATAGACTTACACTTTCTTGAGTATATGCCAGTTTAATAATAGTACCTTACTTCAAATTCACTCAGCAGGCAYTATATATTATCCCTTTTAATGCAACTTCTTTACTGGATACTGCTGGAGACTAAACTATTGTTCAATAACAAGATGTATAGGAAAGAGTTYAAAACTTTACTTAACTCTTAAAAGCTTAAAGATGACAATGTATTTTGAGCTCACTGACAGAACACACCCTGATATTCTTCATAAAAGAAAAAAAAAAATCCAATATAGTTTCAGGTATAAAATGCTGACCTTTCCCTCTCACTTTAGATCAAGGTTATTTTGAAGTAGCAGATTTTCCTGCAGATTAGAAATCAGAAATTTGGGTCAGTGCTGTTACCAGCATCAGAATTTTTTTTCCTGTGGTAAAATCTAAGACATGGTATAGTCTGCAACATTTGATAAGCTGAACACAGAAAAAACATAGCATCAAAACCATGAGTCTGCTGCCACCAAAAAAAAAAAAAAAAAAAAAAAAAAAAAACCCACAAACAAACAAAACTCTTTCTGTCTAAACATCAGCAGTGCCCTTAAAATACAGCTTCTCTAATGTATTCTTGTCTTGCCAGTGAACAGTTTCAGTGCTTTTTATTGTGAAGCTTTCACAAGTATGACAAGAATAGCAGATTTACTATTTTTCATTGAACGAGGTATGAGACGTTTTGGGTTCTAATATTAAAAGTTAAATGCTGCAGTGTGGCAGCTCTAACAAAGCGGAAGGGTTGCATCAGACTGACCATCTGCTTAGGCAGTTGAGGGGAGGAAAAAATTATGTAAGCACTTGCTCCCTAGATTCACCAGGTTATTTGGTCTTCATGCTTTAGTGTTGATCAAGATACAATTGTGCAGTCTCTGGATTACTTGGAACTCTTACAGAGTTCAGCAGTGAAGGATCAATGCCTGAACTGCTGTGGAATGCTGGTAGTCTCTTGTGATGGCAAAAGCAACATTTTCTGAGAGATTTAAGAGTCACTAATCTTTGTTTTAAGACCATCAAAGACTTCACGAAAGGTTTACAGAGCAGGTATAGCTGACTAGGAGCAACTCCAGTGCTAATACTATTGTAATTCCCTATCACTTCCATGCCAAGAACTGCCCAGATTCCTGTGAGAGCAGCCCTGCTCACTGCAGCCTGTTTTGTCACGGACCAGATTTTCTTGTAGAAGACACTAAAGAGATTAAAGCTGAATCTGAGCTAACGGGTCAAACTGATGAGATAAATCTTTTAAATGAATGAGCATCTGCCAATATCTGATTTATACAAATCCACYGAGAATCTCTGAAATCCTCTAGAATTAATGTCAGGTGGGACATGACTGTGGCGCTCATCTGCAGGTCTGTTTATTCAGTCTAAGCTAGTTTTTGGTATGGAAATGCTGAAACAGTCACCAGTTAAGTAAGAGAAAGTCACAGTCTGTATGCTCAAACCTGAAGAAAAGATGAGGCACTGAATACCTGCAGATCAAGAATACCAAATGATAAAATATATTGCTCACCTAAACGTCCCAGTGAAAAGCCTGATCCACATGTATCTGTCAGGAAACATACATACTTGCCGCTGTTAATTTTTCACAATTTTTCAATTTGTTTCAAGCACACTGAAATTAATAGCTAATGGAGGAATGCATGATCTAGCAGAAAAGGTTTACTATTGAGGACTGCTTTGAGTAAGGTTGGAATTATGACACTTTCTACTTGGGAGTTGTTGTTTAAAGGGGGCACACAGCTTGTAAGTAGGTGGATAGATTAAAATTAAAACTCAGCACTGCAAGCATTAAAAGGCTTACATTTCTGTGCTTAATTGGATGCTTGAACAAACCCAACTTTAAACTACAAAGTTGAAAAGTTTATTAGAACAGATTTTCTTGTGGGCTTTTGAGGTCTACACCATTTGCTCTCATCTGAACAGACACAGAAAAGAAACATTTTCAGTGAAATTTTGTCCCTTATTTTTGTTGGGAGATCTGAGATGTAGGAAATTTTCTACAAAAAATGTTTTGGGGTGTTTTTACCGTCTTACCTCTTTTTGTTATACCCTGTAATAGGGCAGAATGAATAGAAGTTCATCAACATGAACTTTTCTAGTCCTTATTATATATTTGTGTGTATTAAAGAACTATTTCTGACAGGAGAAAAATGCAATACCAGATACATGTTTTAAAGAGCCCCATCTTAACCGTCAGATGAAATGAATCATCTAAGTTCTTAGTAGATGCAATGCAATATTGTTTTTATTACTGAAATCTCTTAGTTAAGCGGAGTTAAAGTCTTCTTAATCATGTGTTGGCTTTAATGGTGCTTTGCAGGATGATTTTGAAGGTCTGGAGCTCATACTAGAACCACTGCTTGACAACTGAGAGATTTTTCTAAAAATGCAATTACTTCCAATAAGGATCCAGACTTTGTTTTTGTTTCAGAAAAAAACCCAAGCAAGGCACTAAAACAGCAGAACTTCTTTAACTGGTTTGAGTACACACCAAATCTCTGTTAATAATTTTTCACTCTCCAAAAATTTCCATTTGATAGGAGAGTGTTGGAAAGATCGATTRTACGTATATTTAAATGTTGTATAATGAAACTTACATAACAGTCTCATGGCTTGACTACTTTTATCATCTGTTTGACTGCAGATGGAAGCAATATGATATTCAGAAAGGAATCTGGACTTTTCTAAGTTTAAGACATAAAGAATTCATTCATAGTAATGACCTGTGTTGAGTAGTACAGTAACAAGGGTATCTGAAAGGGAAGGCAATCCTCAAGTTTTTGAATGCAAATATTTTAGATCTATATTTTATATAAAGATATGTATTTTTTATTTGGATGAAAGGATCCACTCATTTTCATTCTAGATTAAGACTCCCTTCCTACTTATTATTTACTTATTTCAGGTATTACATCTTTTGTATTGGTTGTAGATTAGATTCCATGGCAAAACACATGTGTCTAGAACACAGCATTATCATTTAACATATTTAACCTTAACTATTACTGCTAGTAACATTACTGTCCCTTCCTATGATGAAGGATATATCTTTGGCTATACTTCATGCAATGTGAGGTCGCAAACTRGGGACTCTTTAAAAGTTATTTCTGTTTTATAATGCAGTCACTGAATGCTAGAAGATATACTTTAAATTATTTAGCTTTCTAGAGTAGTTGAAATTGCTGTGGAAGCACAATCTCTTACAAATTGGTGAATTTGTGCACTGGAAAGTCATGACTATATACATGTATGTGTCTACATAATTAATCACCTCCATGTGGCTGACCTAATGGGGGATCTGTGATGGATTTTACATTACTATGCATCATGATGGTCGAAGTGGCTGTAATATATTAAAAATATTCTTAGCAAAAACAACCAAATTGGCTTTGGCCTTTAAAAAATTAGCTATCTTAAACATACGATATATTCTAAAGCTATTTCTGGGAACTGGAACATCCTCCACTACCACCTCAGTAATATGCCCTTCTCTGGTCATCTTAGGCACAACATCTTTCTTACACATAACCTCACTGTGGTGCACTGTGAGTGATGGAATACTCATAAAATGTGTTTTAGTTTAAATCACATAGGTTTTCACTGAAACTTAAATCATATACATGAGTATATGAAAACAGATATGTCATCTTTTTCAAAATTCGATGTGTTCACTGTGTTGATTTTTAAAGACCTGCTGTGTAAATATAAAAACTGCTGTAGTATGTGTATTATATGCCTATTTCAACCATGTCTGTGGAAGGGCTTTGGTGGAAGGGGCTGTCATTAAATATTTAAGCTTTTCCTACAAAATATATTTCAATCACTTTACCACAACTGGTACTGATTGATACCTGTTCTAACACTTTAATTGGGATTGTCAATCTATTATTCATATATTTAATAAATTCTATCATCTTTGGACCCTACCAAAACTTCATTTTCTCTAGTATATAACTAAATTCTGCAAAACAAGAAATGAAGACAAGGTAGAAAGAGTTCTTACACCAGTGATAGTCCCTTCTTGTGAAAACCTGCTATAACCACTTTTTTTTTTTTTTCAAATGCAAAACCAAGACCATGATACCAACATGGTGACCCCACAAACTCTTTGGCCAACCTGTTCCAGAACTTTTTTTCTCTTTTCCTTCTTTACCTATTAGATCCATCTTTCAGAGCTTGRACAGAATATTGAAAAGAGCTACTTAGGCATATTACATAAAAGCAGTGCCACAGCAGCACTAAAAACAAAGCGCAAGCTGCACAGAGCTTTCTTCTCTAAAAGCTGAGCTGCTACTAAGGCATGACAGGAATTTTGGGTATTCCTTTCAGTAAAATGATGAACTAGCTACTCTGTTTCAAATTGTGCTTAGCTAAAGCAATTTGGTCCAAATTCAACTTTTTGCAGAGCCTGGTTCTCCTAATTTGAATAAACAGGCAAATTAAATACACAGTGGCAAATAAATACGCAGTGGCAAATGGTCAAAATATGCTTTACTTGTACACTTCAGGATAACTATTTACCTTTTACCATTATTATTTGGAAAGAGTGTTCACCTGAATAGGAATTATTTGGAATTATAGAGATAAACAAGAATTAGAGAATTTCAAATGGTTTAGTCTGAAAAGGTACTTAGGCAGAGCTGAGCAATGGAATACAACAGTAATATGCAAAGGAAATTCTTCGCTGCTTAAATAGTATGTTTTTCCTCACCTGAGGTGACTTTAGCATAAGCTGAACTTCAACACAACCCATCACAGGTCTCAAATTGCTACTGTTATACTTCTCTGCTCAAGCTCTAGGCCATATCTTTTCTTTAAGAAAGGCGCCTTCTCCAATTTTAAATGTGTGATCATGATATTCAACATTGTGGAAATGATTCAGTTTTCAGGTTAGGAAAAGCTACTTATATTTTGTCATATATGATACATTTGATATGGTATATTAAAGTAATWGGGAAATTGAACAAACAACAGTTTATATACATGCCAGTGCAGTGGAAAATACATCATAATCATTTATCTCAGTTTCTATGATGCCCTCTATTTAAATGAAGCCAAATTTATTCTTAATACTCCTTTGCTCATTCTCATTGTCAAATATGAAAGTAGAAATGCACTGCTATGAGATGAACCTCAAATACAGTTGTATTGATAAAATCAACTTTTTATTACCTATATTAAACTTCTGTCTGAAACAGACCATCAATCCTTCTGGTGAGATACGTGGTATTTCACGATCCCTGACCAGATTAGGAATTTCATAAGATCAGTATCACTAATATTTTGGTTTAGAGAGGCAAGCATCATTGTCACTTGGAGTAGGGGAAAAATAATATTGTCTCAAGACATTCACCTGGGAACAAAGTGTGATTCTACCATCTTTGCCTCCAAAGTTCCCTGTCATGGTGCAAGCAAAATGAGTCACCTAAGACTAACATAAGTGGTTGTGTAAGGAGCTAGGGGGAATCTGACAGTGGCTCTCTTGTAGCTAGGTTTCACACAGGAAAGAAGTGTGCACAGTGGTTACAGACAGACAAAGAGCAGATCCTCTGCCCATTTACTTTGTTATAGTCAAAAGGAAAATTGATGCAATTTCGCTACATTCCTATTGAGTAGCTAAAAATGTTTTGCTGTTGCACAAGCTTTTCAGATGAAACATGCTAATTGCAGTGCAATGCCCAATATACTGCCTCTGCAGCTTCTCAGTTTGACTACCTATTCTAGATGACATTTTTTGCTGTTTGACTTAACAGACTGGAAAAAAATGGAACAACACATACAATGATCTACATGTAGCTAGCTTAGCATCTGAATGTTGTATAACAATATCTAACATTTATGTCTTTAGTACTTTACAATGCTTTACTAATATTATTTACCTCTTCTTCCACTGTTATTACAATATGTAACATAAGTGCTCAGTGTGTGGGCAATTTAAATTAAGACAATCCATTTTCTCTTTTTGTCTTAAGAAAAGTATTTATGATGTTTTGAAATCCACTTTTAGGCCCTCATCTTGAGCACATATGAAAAGTGGTTTTAATAATGAAGTGTGAAGGAGAAAAGGAAATATTCCCTTGATTATCAGGTGATTTCTTTTTTATTTCAACTGAGCACCTACTCAAAAGAAAAGATATAAGTTTATTTTAGTTTGAAGTGTGGGGGCAAATTTAGTAAGAGATGAATCCCCTTGCATTCTGGTTGATCTTCAGAGGTTAGAGGGACTGGAAGCTGCTGGACTCGTCTCTTAATAGGGATATCAAATATAGTATAGTTATAGGTCTGATTCTGGCAGCACCAAATTCATGAACAGTCTGTTGACTAGAAGTCTGACTGCCTTCAAAGTAAGTAGTCAAGTTCACGAATAGTATGAACAACTATAGGCCTGACTCTGGTAGTACTGGAATCATGAACAGTATGTTGACTATAYGTCAGATTGCCTTCAAAACAAGTTGTTGGGTTCACAAATAGCATAATTCATTCAAATGCAAAATTTACAAAGCAGGTTTTAGAACCTGCTTATTTAGGAAATATTCTCTACTACAGCGTGGAGTTCTTAGCTAGAGCGAAAGTACAAATGCACAATAATCACTCGCCCGAGAAGATGGGAGAGGAGTCCCTTCAGGTGGTATCTCGACGCAAGGTGGATAAAGGGGTTCAGCCCATCAACTGATCCCACAAATTACAATGGAGTCTTTCCTCCAAATTTCTCCCCTCCTTAGTTCACATTTTATTCTTTTTTACATTTAGGTGGAGCTTGAGTAACTGTAATCAAATTTACTTTTGTAATTGATTGGTGAAAAAAATCTCTCGCTTTCACTTAAAGGTACAGTCAATCAAAAATCTAAAGTGCACACTCAGTGCACTCAGGAGTATCTCAGATGCAGGCAGCTTTTGGGATGGATGAGTGCATTATAATGAGGAAAAGTTCAAGCAAAGTTCATCCAAAAAGAGTAATTTTCTACCATTCCTTGCTCAGCACTGGACATCTTATCACATATTTCCCGGTGGATGGCTATRTGGCTTATCAGCTGCATGGCAACATCAGGTCACCACATCCACAGGGAGTACAACAGAGTTTGGCCGTGATGTCTTCACTCCACCCTCCATTACTTCTCTTGGCTGCACGGAGGACAGATTTTGCTGCACAGGGAACCATGGAATAGCAGAGTCTGYGCYTACCAACCATCCTGGAAGTAGCAACTGTCTTACACCCCAAGAAAGCCTCTGTAATGCCAACACTTTTGTTAGGCCCTAGTTTTTCTCTAAATTCCCCCTTTTCAAGCAATTTTTCCACCAAGTTTTACAGACCCAAGATCTAAGCTTTCTGCAGGCACTAAAAAACATCAAAAGTCTTCAATATCTTTTGTGATAAAGCACCCAAGGCAATCAGTTTAAATTTAGAGAATTAGGAGAGGTCTTTCTTCCTCTCTAGATAAGGTAGACTGACCCATATGGGAAAATTATCCTGAGGAAAGATGTGTGCCAGCTGTAATTGAAACAATTAGTCTCTTGGTAGAGACTATTCCCTAACTCACCCCAAAAGTTTCAAGTAAGGTTTATKTGCTGTGGAAACAACACACTGATAGAAACCGCCAATCCAAAGCCATCCCTATTAAATACATTTGTTTTTCATTTCAAAATTTTATCAGCCTCCAGGGTTTTATATGTTAATTATCTCTATATCTTAATTAGGTATAATTACAGATAATTAACACTATCTCTAAATTCCTACAGCATTTATSAGGATAACGTGTTGACAGTAATCAGAATAGAAGCATAACTGACCAGCTGAGAACATAACCTCAGCTTTGGCAATGCTTTGTGGAATCACTGCACTCATGTAGTTTTTTTCTTTCCTCTCTCATACTGTGGCCATTAAATAGAARTAAAGTCATCAGCCTAAGCACAAATTCTATTCTATTCAATGCTATTCTAAAGCATGCAAAAAAGGGATAGGATAAAATTTACTAGTGACAGGCAAGTTCTACATCTTAAAAAATTAACAAAGAAAGAAAAAAAAAATGGGAATTTACTATTATGACTTTGCCCAAATGAAGAAAAAAGAGAAATATCTTACAAACATACTATGCTGAAGTCAATTAATAAAGAAATGAGTCTACTAAAAGGTTTTTGTTTTGTTTTGTTTTTTCATAAAACTATCCATTGAATTCTGGAAATTCAGGGTAATTTGCCCGAATGGGACAAAAAGTGCGTTAGAACACTTTTATTGCTCYTTTTTTTCCCCATTAAGGGGAAAAGGTGACACTTTAAAATAGCTGTGAGAAAGATTTACGCAGATTTGATATAGGTGGGGGT